GTCTCGCATGTCTCGCACCACCAATAATCATGGAATTATAAAATTAGGAACAACATATCCACGCGCCAACAGATTTACTCAGAATGAAGGCAATAAACTGAAACAACCTTTTGGGAAACGAGAGACAAAAAAAAGAGACAAAGACAACTTCCCATTGAAGGGATGTTTGAATTAAAAGGAACACCGATTTGGGGTGATCGATTTCAAAAAAAAATCTATTTTAATTTCCTCAACAATTTCTTTAAAAATGAAAAATTAGGGTCAGAAAAAGCCTTTAAAAGAAGATAAGTCATGTTAACTACTGAAAATGCTGTTTAAAAAATTAAATTTACACAAATTTTAAAATTTTTGAACGGACAATAAATACAAGGTGAGATGAAAAAACTGCAAACAAATTCAGACGGCTGTCATTTCTAAGCCACTAGTCCGGCAGCTGCGAAATTATTATTTTAGTGACAGCCACTAGTCCGTTTACAAGCGTACAAAAGCATTTTGGTGAGAATTTTCCAGTTATTCATGATGGAATTCAAGCCTGACAGTGTAATTTGTTTATATTTGGCTGGAAAACCACAAGTGGCTATCGTTAGAGCACTCCAGCATTTAAATGTGAATAAATCTTTTGTGTCTCGTACCATCTCTTGATACCGTTATACTGGTAGCGTAGTCCGACGTCAAGAAAGTGGACGGAAGAAAACCGCAATATCAGCAGAAATGGTTCGAAAAATAAGGAAGCGACTTGAATGAAACCAGCGTTGCAGTGGCCGAAAAATGGCTCGTGAGCTGAACATATCGCAATATTCCATTCGGCAAATATTTAAAAATGAGCTCGGGCTAAAGTCATTGATATTCCAAAAAGTGCAAAAACTTACACCGCAACAGAAAGAAAATAGACTCAAAAGAGCTAAAGAGTTACTTCGCATGGCCGAAAGTGGTGAATTGCCGAATTTGGTTTTCTCCGATGAGAAAACATTCGTTGTCCGGCAGTTTGTAAACAAACAAAATTACCGTGTTTACTTGCCAAGGAGGTCAGCTGAAAATGTGCACCTTCGGTTGGCCACCAGAACTCAAGTGTTTTCAGATTAAATTCAGAATATTATTGCGAAAATATTCTGGAGGGTGTATTAAAGTCTTGGGCGTGCAAACATTTTGTCCGTAGACTTTGGACATTCCAACAGGACTCAGCACAATCGCACTTACCACGCGCCACTCAAGAATGGTTATTAAATGAGGTTCCTCGCTTCATTTCCAGCGCACAATGGCCACCAAAATCTCTGGATATCAATCCATTGGACTATTGGGTCTGGAGTATTTTGGAAAGGCACTAAGAAATACCAAAGTGTCGATCACCTCAAGCAAGCGCTTCGCCGGGAATGGGCCAAAATACCGCAGAGCAACAGTCCGGCAGCGTGTGACAGTTTCATTGGCCGTTTGAAGGCCATAATTTGTGCCAAAGGTGACCACTTCGAACAAATCTAAACTTATTTTAAATTTGATGCTATTTCCGATATTTTTTGCTCTCATTTAATAAAATTTAAAAAAATGTAAAAATTATGGCGTTTGACTTTGTTGCAGTTTTTTATCTCTCCCTGTACTTAAAAAAAAGAGGAAAACAGTTGAGTGTCACCTTATTCTATTTGTACGCCGATATAACCCTTAGTTTTTAAATACAACACCCTTCATGATTTATAAACCATTTTTTGTTGAAATCAAATATTAAATTTTGAAAAATTACTTTAAAATATATTTTAAGGCGAAATAGTGTACGTAGATACACTGCAAATAAATCATTAATCTCAATCTCCTTCGTTTTTGGGTAACATGGGAAATTTTTTAAGATTTCAGGTACGAAAAACTATCACACCTATTACGATTACCCTTTATAAATACATATCCCGGAGACTTTGATAAATCACACAAAAATATTGCCAAAAAAAACATTTAAATCAAATTCTCTACCTAATATATACCCAAAGAAAAATTCTACCTAGCCATTAATTTAACAATGTTTTTAAATTTTGTGTTGGAATTTCCAAAGAAAAACTTCATTTCTATTTAAAATCTTCCATTCCCATTTAAAATCTTCCCTATTTTCCAATTCCTCCCCACCATTCAAATCATGTTAATGCTGTCACTGATGTCTATTTTATCCACAATTTTAGAAAATCCAACCAAAACCGAACTGCATTTTACGCTATTTTTATTTGGAATGACATCGTATTGAAATCAACCAAACAATAATAACAACAACGACAAGGAGAGTGTAAAAAATGCTTTTGGATAAAAGCCAGCCAGCCAGCCAAAATGTGTACAACATAACAGCATCAGAACTTTTTTCTTTGACTTTTCACTTTTGGGAATTTCGAAGGCTTTATTTACGCCGTCGCCACCGCCGCCAACCCAACAAATTTCACTTCATGTAGATAAGTCGTCTTCGTCGCATTATGTTGTCATCGTTTCGTTTTGTTGTTGTTGTTGTCTTTTTTTCAAAAGGAAATTTTGCTAATTTTAGAATTGTTTTTGGGCATTTTATTTATAAATCTCTTAGATTTTCTCATTTGCTTTTCACATTTAATTAGATGAAATTTTTAAAATTTGTCGAACATCTGTTCAATATATTTACTAGTGAATGCATTAGGAGGAAAATTTTGGTGTTTGAGTGAAATATGCCAGTCGTCCACTAAATACGATTTTGGCGTTTAAACTAAAATAAATACTGGAAAAATCCTTTCCTAACAATGAAAACAAAAAAGATTTAATGACGAAATCCCATTTTGAATTTTATGAAACGCTAGAGAACCCATGTGGACAGGAGCCTGCAACGTCGCTATGGATATAACTAAGTAACAAAGAAATAGTATCAGTCGGTTTTTCCGAAAGATGTATACCCGCAGTTTTGAGTTATGATTATTCAAACTAAGACTAATAATAATAATAATAATAATAATAATAATAATAATAATAATAATAATAAAAATAAAATAATAATAATAATAATAATAATAATAATAATAATAATAATAATAATAATAATAATATTAATAATAATAATAATAATATTAATAATAATAATAATAATAATAATAATAATAATAATAATAATAATAATAATAATAATAATAATAATAATAATAATAATAATAATAATAATAATAATAATAATAATAATAATAATAATAATAATAATAATAATAATACAGGGTGAGATGAAAAAACTGCAACCAACTGCAGACTGCTGTCATTTCTCAACCACTCGTCCGAAAGCTGTTAAAATTATTCCAGTAACAGCTCATTATATTGTTTGCAAGCATACAAAAGCATTTTGGTGAGAATTATCCAGAAAAAAAGTTGGTGTGATTTCTTTATATTTGGCTGGAAAATCATAAGTGGCTATCATTAAAGCACTCCAGCAATTAAATGTCAATAAATATTTTGCATCTCGTACCATCACTCGGCCAAGGATGTGGACGGAAGAAAACAGCAACATCAGCAGAAATGGTTCGAAAAGTAAAGGAGCGACTTGATCTAAACCCGCGTCGCAGTGGCCGAAAAATGTCTCGTGAGCTGAACATATCGCAATATTCCATTCGGCAAATATTGAAAAATGAACTCGGGGTAAATCCATTGAAATTCCAAAAAGTGCGCTTCGCTTGGCCAAAAAAAAAATTTGGCAAAATTTGGTTTTCTCCGTCTCCGATGAAAAAGCATTCGTTGCCCAGCAGCTTGTAAACAAACAAAATGATCGTGTTTACTTGCCAAAGAGATCAACTGAAAATGTGCACCTTCGGTTGGCCACCAGAACTCAAGCACCGGCCATGGTGATGGTGTGGGCCGCCATAATAGCCGAGGGTCGCTCTTCGCTCGTATTAATCGATCGTGGCATCAGAATAAATGCCGAATATTATCGTCAAAATATTCTGGAGGGTGTATTAAAGCCTTGGGCACGCAAACATTTTGGCCGCAGACCTTGGACATTCCAACAGGACTCAGCACAATCGCACTTAGCACGCGCCACCCAAGAATGCTTATAAAAATCAGGTTCCTCACTTAATTTCCAGGGCACAGTGGCCACCAAAATCTCCGGATACCAATCCGTTGGACTATTGGGTCTGGAGTATTTTGAAATGCAAGGTTGGCACTAAAAAACGCCAAAGTGTCGATCACCTCAAGCAAGCGCTTCGCCGGGAGTGGGCCAAAATACCGCAGAGCAACATTCGGGAAGAGTGTGACGGTTTCATTGGCGATTGGAAGACCATAATTCGTGCCAAAGATGACCAATACGAACAAATCTAAAAATTTGATGCTATTTCCGAAATTTTTTTTCTTTCATTCAATAAAATTAAAAAAAAAATTAAAAAATATGGCGTTTGACTTTGTTGCAGTTTTTTATCTTACCCTGTAATCTATAAAATTTAATTTTAATTTATACTATACTTTAAGACGTGCCGTTTAACACATCTAAATCTATGCTTGAAAAATGCTAAAGATAAATAAGGAAATAGTAGCTTTAAGTATGACTCTAACATAATCCCTAAGTTAGCCTCAATCAAATCTAAATATTATCGTCTAAAACTGAACATTAATTATTTAAAAAATCTAAAATAAACCAACCTTAACAGCCATTATGATACATACATAAGGTGTGTACGATAATTTTCCTAGTAAAATTTAAACAGTAACTTGTACTGAGAAAATCGATTCTAATCTGAACTTGTTACCTACCGTAAGTAAAAAATAATAAATTATTCAAATTAATGTCGGAACATCGGACACAAAACAACCAGCCGACGACACTGGACAATTCTTAACGAGAAAATTTCCCCAGCAAGCATTCACAATCAATTAGTAACTCAACTGTTCAAATTGCTTCACTCTCTCTCACTTAATGGACTTTTGGCTTTTCGAACAACATCCAGTAATACTATTACTACTTTTGTTTTAATTATTTCCTTATCGTACACACCTATTAATCTATATAAATAATACAATTCAATTCTACTCACAAATTCTTTTCATCACTGGTTACTGGTTGTGTTTTATATCTATCCTTGAGGAGATCACGGCGTATGACACTGGGTTTCAATATTTTCACCGCGCCTGCGCCAGCAGCAGCCATGCCACCAGCAGTAGCAACATCTTCCGATTTATTGGGATCATTCTGCAATGGCGATTCCCACGATGTATTGATGGCAGAATTACTACCAGCCGTGGCGGCATTTTGATTGGTAAGGAACTTTTCCATTGATTTGATACGATCGGCCACCGATACATTGGCACCCGGAGTTGAAGATGTGAGACTGGCCACCAGATCGTCAGTGTTTTCTTGTGAGGTAGCAATAGCATTGAGTGCGGCACCCAAATCTATCACAGGTGTGTGGTCTTGACGTTCCAATGAACGGGTGCGTCTTTTCAACATAAATGGTGAGGTTGCTGACTCACGTTCCGCATCGGGATCATCGTCGGTGGGCCCCAGAGAGCGACGCTTCGAAGGAGAATCCGTCTTGAGTATAGGTTTTACCAACGGCTCTCCATGTGAGGTGGAATCACTTTCCGAGAATGGATCAAATTCAAATTCCTCTCTGCTTGACTTTCGTGATGTCTTGAGTATTGGCTTGATTTCATGTTCATCCGAATCGCCTGAAGATTTTTTCTTTAGAATCGGTTTTGGTTGTCTGACAGAATCTTCTGTGGTTGAGGTCTCCAGCTTGAGTATGGGCTTGATGTCATACTCTTCATTGCTGGGTGTAAAACTGACATCATCACCAAATGTGACATTTTCTGCCGTTTCATTGGCCGACAGCTCAGCTGCCGCTAATATAACAGCTTGTGATATGGAAACATGTTTGGTGGCGTGTTGAGCAAGATCGGAGGGCGTGGAGGTGGAATCCTTTTTCTTGAGTATGCTATGGGGATGTTGGGATTCACCAGAACTTCCACCACCCACAGCACCGCCAGCCGATGGGCAGCTATCACTTTTAAAGCTATCATAGCTGCTTTGCTTTAGAATGCCATGGGGACCCTGAGTTAAGGAACAATTACCCGACATATTACCATTGGCTGCCGTCTCTTCGAGAGAATTGCGACGAGCTGACTTAATGAAGATGCTACGCTCATCCGGTGAGTGAGACCGGGAATAGTAACGTGACTCATCGAGTGAAGAACGTTTTTTCAGGATACCAGCCCGTTTCTGTTTCGAAGGAGTGTCCATGACATTGGCCGAAAAGGTGACGGGTGAGGCATTGCTCGAAGCAGAACTAGATTCACATGCCGATAGATGATCTTTTTTCTTGAGTATGGAGACAATTTGATTGCCGGATTGGTGTGGAGCATTGCTGAGGGGATCATCGGTACTTTTACGCCTGAGAATGGGTGAAAGTTTGGGAGGTTCAAAACTGGATTCACGTTCTATGCTGCGAGCCTTGAGCATACGCTGTGAACGTAAAATACCACCCAGTTTTGAACGTTCCTGTAGCTCAGAGCCATTTTGATCGATATGTTCCAGAGGATCGGGTTCATAGTAGATACGTTCTTCCTGATGGAAAGTTGTATGTTTGCCGGGTGAACAACGATTGGCCTCCTCTGTGGCGGCATCACGCTCCTGACTGGTGCGCAGACGATTCATGGTTTTTGTTAGATCACTTATGGCATTTGCAGCACTTTCCGAACAGTCATTGGCGATTTCGGCTATTTTGATTATTTCAGCCAAATCACTGCGAGTGCGTTCATTTAATTTACGATTCACTTCATCGGTTCGCTGCTTGCGTAGTTCACCAATGGCCACTGTGTCGCAACGACGACTCACTTTTTGTAACACAGGACCTGCCGCCTTACTGTTGCTACTGCCACTGGGTGGAGATGATGATTCCTTGACATGTTTGGGACTCGCTGTCTGAGCACGACGGCGATTTGCCATTGCATTGGCATTGGAGGCTTGATCTAGACCCCTTCTGGCCAATTCCATGTGATAGGATAAATCATTGCGCGAGCTGGGTTTGGGCGGGGAGCCTGGCTGAGCCTTAGAGGGAGATGTTAACAGTTCCTTGACCGCAGCACCGGCATCATCTGCAGGCACCAAAGTTCGAGCCATGCCCAATTCACGACGTTTGCGTCGACGTGCAGCAGCTTCATCTGTAGAGAAGTAAAAAAAAGATATTTTAATATTTTTTTTTTCGCAAAATTTTGAAATTTTAAAAAACTGCAAGTTTTAAAGGAGGGTATATCACATTAAAAAGAAAAATAAAATAACATATTCACATACATGCAACATTAGAAATTCCATAGAATTGACATTGAAAACAAACATATTTTACACAAACCACATCCTCGGTTAGTACAAGACATGTGATTTCGGATTTATTATCTTTGTTGGTAGGGAGATGGTGTTGATGATGATGATTGTCATGATGTTGTTGTTGATGCTGATGATGATGATGAAGTGTAAATGTTTTTAAATGTAAATGTTTTAATATTGATTTAGTTGTTGTTGTTGCGGATTTGGTATCATTTCGTGGTAATTTCAACGATTGCATAATTCGCGCTCGATTGGACACCGCTTTTCTGTTCGTTGCAAGCTACCCTCACAGACTGAAGGTGATGCGGATTGTAAAATTTTATTATACCTTAATGAAAAGCAAATATTGAAGATAATAATTTGAAAAATAGTTTCGTTGCAAACTACATATTTTTGCATGTTTATCTCGAGTTTGATTTAGTTTCGCAGACAGTGTTGCCATTTTGTATTATCTTTTCGCTACCAATTTATGTTTTTCGCAATATCTAAATATTAATAAAAATTAATATTTATTTTTACTTTTTTTTGGTTACTTTAAATTGTCTTTGAATGTTTTAATGGGGTTTTGGGGATCTTGAAATTAATCGTAGACTTAAAGAACTCTAGGTTTTTTTAAAGTCTTCCCAGTCGAATTAAACATATTTTCCTAAAATTTTGGAATCAAAGCTTTAGTTGAGGAATGAGTGAATATTATATGATTATTCAAACTGTTCACTCTTTATGGGGGAGGTTCCGAAGCGGTTGACCAATTCGTATCAGACCTAAGAATGATATAACTATTACAACGTGACAGTTTTAGACTATATCGACTACTTCCTGTACTTTATATGAGATATGTGCAAATTTTGGAAAAATAGCGGACCGAAGTATTCCATTTTCATACTTCATCTAATACAGATAAAAAGATTGGTACGAAATCATAAATTCCATAATCATATCACATTTCGGGTTAAGAGAAATTTTTATATATAGAAAGTTGTGAAGAATCGACGACTTGTTTCGCAAGTTATGACCTATATATGTATTGGAAATTGTGACCCCTTGTGGGTGAGGTACCAGAAGGGGTTCGCAGATATATCTATATCATCTTCACAACAGCAAAATGTTTGTATGTGATAATTTTGAAGAGAAGGATGGATTTGGATGCTTATTTCGCTTTCTCTGAGCGTTTTGTGTTTCAACATCTTGAACCCTTCGTGGGGGAGGTACCAGAAGAAATTGGGCGATCTCTACCATTTTTATAACAGATCTTGTTTTGACGGAAATATTGAGATGCACCAAGACTGAATGAGATTGAATGTTATTTTCGCGTTTTATGAGCTTCATGGATACTCAAAATATTGACACTTTGTGGGGGAGGTAACAGAAGGAGTGGCCCAATATATCCCATCTTCACACCAGACCTTGGGCTCATAAAAATATTGTAATATGTGTAATTTGAAGAGAACGGGATGATTATTTCGTATTAATTGATCGTTTTGATTATTCAAAATGTTAACCCTTTGTGGGGGAGGTACCAGAAGTGATAGTCGGATCTCTACCATATTTATAACAAATCTTGTGTTGATGGAAATATTGAAGTGTGCCAAGTCTGAAGTGAATCGGGTAATTTCGTGTTTATATTCATAATTTTGACCCTTTGTGGGGGAGGTACCAGAAGGAGTGGACTGATATATTTCATCTCCACACCAAACCTTGAGTTAATATAAATATTGGGATGTGTGAAATGTAAAGACAATCGGACTATTACATCACAATTCACAAGAGTTATAATTATTCTAAAATTTGACCCTTTGTGCGGGAGGTACTTGATGGAGTGGTCCGATATGATATATTTTCACACCTGACCTAGCACTGTTGCAAATATTAGGATATGCAAAGTTGAAGAAAAGTCGGATCATCTTTCTCTTTTTGTGAAGCAAAATATTTTTGAAAATTTCGACCTTTTGGCGGAAGGTACCAGAAAGGGTGGCCCGATATTGGTCATCTCCGAACACGATCTAAGTTTGACAATAATATTACGATGTACCAAGTTTGGTCCAAATCGGATACTCCCTTCAAAAGTTGTCGTCCGCCAGACGGACGGACGGACATCGTCAGATCGACTCCAAATGTCCTGGAACAGATTTGGTCCAAAGAGTCTTGGCCGTATCAAATGATATATACCATCTCTAGCCATATGGCTGAGGGTATAATTAATATTTACTTTTTAAAAAGTTTTTTTTTTTTTAGTTTACTTTAAATTTTCTCTGCAAAATCGTACATTTTATTTTATTTAGAATCTTCACAGTCAATATGGGGGCTTCGAAAATTCTTGTAAGATCTAAAAAATATCGTCATTGAAAGATATATTTACTCATTCTATAGAACAATTCCTTTCATTCAAATTAGAAAATATATAGGAAAACATACAAAAAATTGGTGTTGTTCGCACACATTCATTTTTGGTCATAATTAAAAAAAAAAAATAAAAACGACCAAATTTTAATGGGAAAATTTGAAAATGTTCAAGACGACAACCCAGTTCTCTAAAACCGCTGACTTTACATCGTTATCACATTTTTGCCTATACTGACTGTCATCATCATCAACATTTTCATCATCTTTGTAGTAGTTGTCTTGGGTTTGGTTTACTTTGGTTGAGTTTGGGAAGTGGGCGTTCTTCAATTAAATTTTATGGTTAAGTAATCGAATCAGAATCATTGGAGCGTATTAAAACAAACTGCAAGTTTTTCTCTTTGTGGTTTCTTTTGGAAAAATACATTAGGAAATCACTACGGCTACACCCATTTTCAATTGGTAGTTATTTAGGCACTGCAAAACATTGTCTGCAAAACGATTTTAACAATGTATAGCGATGAATAGTTATAACATTTACTTGACATCTTGTTTGGTTAACTAGCTTCTCGTTTGTGAGAAACAAATATATCTACTACGTAATAGGAAATTTTCCTTTACATCAATTGCAACTACGTTGTTCGGTTCGTTAGAAATGTAGATAAAAGAATTGCATATGACCCTTTTTTGATATTGAAATTTAAGTTGAGTTGGGAAGAAAAAATCAGTATTACAATGCCAGAAGGCAGAAATTAGAAATTCTATGAAATAGAAACATAAGAAGTAGTAGGAATTGTAGGAATACAAATCAAAAGATTAGGTACAAGGCTCCACAAACTCTTCTGTACAACTAATAGTTTTAAGATTTAATTTTTGCACACAAAATCTGACTTTGGTCTTATTGCCTAAATTTGAAGATCACATAAAAGAGGATTTAAAGTCTTATGAATATTTATAAAAGAAAGTGAAGGGGTGTTTATTATTGAAAGATATTCCAAGTATTTATATTTAAAAATAAAGTATTAAGTGATACCCTAAACCGATTAAAGAAAACCTTATTATACATTTTCTAGAGGTATTATAAATTTTCTGTGTACAGAAAAAGGTTTCTATATACACCCTTCTTGGGTGGCTTTAAAAGGTTCTTTTATTGATATAATATCATAAAGAGAGCTTCAATGAGAATGATTTTTCTGCAGATAGAAGACTAGATGTATTTTTATACCCTACACCACATAGTGGTAAGGGTATTATGTCTTTGTGCATTTGTTTGTAACATGGAGAAGGAAACGAGATAGACCCATAGTTACTTTTGAGAACCTTCATAGAATCACTTTCTGAGTCGATTTATGCATGTCAGTCCGTCTGTCCGTCCGTCCGTCCGTCTGTCCATGTATTTTTGTGAACAAAATGCAGGTCGCATTTATTATCCGATTGAGATGAAATTTTAGATGGAGCACAGAAATAGCTGTTTTAAATTTTATCGAAATCGGTTCAGATTTGGATATAGCTCCCATATATATCTTCATCCGATTTCGGGTTAATTGACCACCAAATGGCCAATATCAGCCCAAATGGCCCGAATTTTGGCATATGTGACCGAGATTAGCCTTAAAGAAATACAACAAATTTAGAGAAAATCGGTTCAGAGACAGCTATAGCTCCCATATATATGTTTTATCCGATTTGGTGTTTAAGCCTCTCACATTCGTAATATGCACTCCACAGGAATGATATTTGGTACCAGATATAAGATACAGCCCAGAAATAGCTGTTTGTAATTTTATCGAAATCGGTTCAGATTTGGATATAGCTCCCATATATATCTTCATCCGATTTCGGGTTAATTGTGCACCAAATGGCCGATATAAGTCCAAATGGACTGAATTTTAGTACATCGGACCAAATTCAGCCTAGAAGCAAGCATATCAAATTTAGTGAAAATCGGTTCAGATTTAGATATAGCAACCATATATATGTTTCATCTGATTTAGTGTTTTAGACCTTTACATTCGTAATATTCACTCCACAACCGTGATATTTGGTACCAGGTATTAGATGGAGCACATGAATAGCTGTTTTAAATTTTATTGAAATCGGTTCAGATTTGGACATAGCTCCCATATATATCTTCATCCGATTTCGGGTTAAATATGCACTAAATGGTCAATATCAGCCCAAATCACCTGAATTTTCGTACATAAGACCGAATTCAGTCTAGAAGCTAATACGTCAAATTTGGAGAAACCCGGTTCACAGATAGTTATAGTTCGTAAAATGCACGATAGAATTAGATAGATTTTGATTTTGTACCAAATATCTCATAGAGCTCTGAAATGCCCTGTATAAACCTTTTTAAGAGAGCTCTACTAAATATGCATAGTGGTGTAGGGTATCATATAGTCGGCCCCGCCCGACTTTTGCGCTTTCCTTACTGGTTTTTTATTTTGGAACAGTACTAATAGACTTTAAGAAGAAGCACCCTTTACCCCAGATTTGTATCTATAAAATAACTTAAAAGATATCGGTATATATTCGCCTCTAGGGTGTTTAAGTCTAATCAGTTAATACTATAAGGAGTTTTCAAATTGACAAGCCTTTAAAGAGGTATCCCATACAGATTTTATCTCGTATAGGACATTTTACCACAATATACCCTCGGGAGCTTTTTTGTCCCGAAAATCCTTACTTATATTATTACAAGTAAAAATCATTATAGTAAAAAGCTATTTAAAGGTTTAAAGCAATCTTATTTGTAATTTAAAGATTTTTTATAGATTTTCAATTTAGAGATTAGGATATGAATGGGTGACAATCTATTTTCAGAGACTAAGGATTTTAGAAAACATAACATTTAGAAAAATTTTAAGTATTTAGGTACTTATTTGTGGTAGACCGTTAGGAGTTTTAATAAATCCCTAAGGAGGCTTTTGTGTTTTTAAAACATTGTGACTATTTTCCATATCCCTACCTGACCTAAGTCTTAACTAAATATTGTAATGTTCCAAATTTAAACTGTATAGGGTATCCCCTTCTTTATACCCTACACCTCAAGGGGGTAAGGGTATTATGTCTTTGTGCCTTTGCTTGTAACAGGGAGAAGGAAGCGAGATAGACCCAATTTTACTTCTGAGGATATTCATAGAATCGCTTTCTTTATGCATGCCCGTCCTTCCATGTATTCTCGTGAACAAAATGCAGGTTGCAGTTCCAAACAATATTTGTTTGGCCCAAGGACGAACCCTATTGAAATTGGTGATAATCGGATCAGATTTAGATATAGCTCCTATATATCTCCAACCGATTTCGGGTTAACTGTGCACCAAATTGTCAATATAAGTCCAAATGACCTGAATTGGGGTACATCTGACCAAGTCCAAATTACCTGTAATTTGGTACATTTGGAGCTTTTGAGGAAGAGGTACCAGACGGAGTGGGCCGATATTGTCTATGTCGGAACTCTATGGTGGTTTCAAAGAAACATACGGTTTTTTCAAGGAGGTATTAAATTATATATACCTTCTATAGTCATATGACTCAGGGTATAAAAATATGCTAGTAGTGGATCAATGAAATACTGAGTAGCAGAATTGTTAACTATTACATTGGCAAGGCACCACATTAAAAAGGGACAATATATGCAACCTATCGTACTGTTGGCAAATCAGAAGGTTTTTTTTGCTATATCTGCAATAATTCAATAAGTAAGAGTCCTCCCATTCTTCGCTCTGGATGGATGTATGGTGGCATTCTTTAAAGCAAACATTTGTCCCCAGTGGAACTTGGCATCAAATACAAAGTTGAGCGAAGTGTAATTTCAACGCTTAAAGTAGATTTTGAGATCTTGTTTCCCAACAGTGCATACAAATCCAAATTGGAAAAAAGTCAGAGAGCCGGACCGAAGTCTACTAAGCATGATTTATTCCTAAAACTGACAAATATTTTCACAAAAGCGGAGAGACTACAACTACATGGCAGAGCTGGTGACAAACAATGTTTATAGTCAGTCGGCTCTTAAGGCCATCCAATCTTGCATTCTTCTATGTTTGGTAGAAGGAAATTCAAAATCGGGACCATGGTCTCCAGACATTGAAGGATTACTGAAGGAAAGTCAAGATAAGTTGGTACATCGAACGAAGTAGGGAGTAAAAGATACAAGTTATTACAAGATTGAGAGAGATTTTACCTGGCAATGACTCATTCGAAATAAGACAATTGAATGGAACAGTTGTTGGATTAACTGCTGCATGGCAGATGGATAAGCGACTGAAACGAATAGGCGTTCTATTACAAGACCCCCTAACTCTTGTTCCCAGAAGACTATGCATTTTCGGTAGGCAGAATCTCAGTACCTTTTCTTCCATCCATGGAAAACTCTTGTTTTTTTTACATAAAAAAGCTCTTCTCTTTACAAAACGAGGACCTTGTTTGGTATTTTAATTTCAAAGGTATTTTAATTTCAAATTTTTTATACTTCTACAGGTAGTAGTATGCTAAATTGGAAGCTGCTTCTGTGAAGAAATCGAAAAGACTATTACTGTAGTCCGCGGGAAGATTAGTGAAGAAATCGATAAGACTATTACTGTAGTCCGCGGGATGATTAGATATAACTGTATCTAAACAAAGCAACATTATATCCGTAAGACTATTTCTGTAGTCCGCGATTCACTTAGATATATCTGTATCTAAACTAATCTTAACTACCTATCCAATCAATTCACGGATATAACTGTATCCACAAGCCCACAAAATAACACACACCTATATTATAAAAAAAAACAATAATAATTAAAGCATGAAAAAAATATGGGGTGATTGTATTGACAACCTCCCTATAAAAATATTAGTATATAAGATATGAAACCTTATTGTTATTTTCATTAAATATATGAAAGATTCAATAAATTAAACAATTAAACAAAAAAAAAAAATTTCAAATGAAGGTGGAAAAAATCAATAGTTGGTATGTTCACTTTACATTTTTTACAGATTTTTGGAAGCGGAGAAAAATTACAAAACATGAATGGAATGTTGAAGTTATTCCACAAAATTGAATCCCATGTAGAAGAACAATATTCAAAACTATAAATTAAATTTCGATTTGTGTCAAATATATGAATTGTTATTTCAATTGAATTTGAAACAATTTCAACATTAAAATTAAATAAAAAATCTTGTATTTAACGCATAGCTTTATTCTACTTTCTGTTATTGAACATTGGTATGGCATTTCTTGGAGGAAAAGATTTTGGCCTCTTTGATCCTTAAATGCAAATTTGAATAAAATTGTGCTACTGTGCACAAAACCCAGTATAATTTGTTGGAGTATTAAATTATTATTTTTTCGATGCATATCCATGCTATCCACAGTACCAGAAAATGTTGTCAATTTTTTATGAAGGTTTTAGATACCACCGAAAATCTGATGTTTAATACGATCTAGTGTGTCGTAGTTTAGGGCAGAATATTCTCTAAAGACAGTGACATGTACAGCTTGGAATAGGTAATTCGAAATATGAGAACTTAATCAACAAATATTCTCAACACGGCTCAGTACGCATTATATGGGTACTAGGTCATGCGGGAGTTATTGGTAACGAGACAACGGACTCTCTCGCCAAAACAGGCAGGGGATTAGCCACAGTAAACTTAGACAATCCAGTGCGGTAAAACGCCTCACGTCTAGAGTCAAAGAAATAGACAAAAAATGCCCACATATCCCTATGAAACAACGAAGGCGTTGGGAAAACCACAAAAATCCTTTGCGGCGACCCCAATGAGATAAAACGAGGAATCTTTTATTACTAGGTAAGAAAGAGATTAGCGGGGTAACAAACATCCTTATCTGGGCATACAAGCACATCTGTATAAAATTAGATCTTTAGATAACAGCATATGCAGGACATGCGGGGAAGATGACGAAACTTTGGTGTATTTTCTCTACCAATGGTCCCAATACTTAGGGAACGACTCCATACCAGACCTTAATCAGATCATCAGATAAATTAAATAAAACAGTTTTGAAATGTTGTTGGGGCAACTGAGTTTCAAATATAATAGACTGTAAATTGTCCGTCTTCTTTCAACAACCTTTTTAGTCCTTTAGACTGCACAACAGGCCTATACTGGCATAAGTGTTTGTCCATCAGGACATGTGGCGATTGTTTCGCCTCTCTTTTCAACCTAACCTATAGCAAAACTTGGAACACTCGATCCTCATTTATCATTGAAAAGTTCAAGTTAATTATGGAATTTTGTTTCGATTCGAAAATTAGCTGCTTGAAATATAACAATTCTTTTTGATTCTTTAATTTTTTCCAATATGCCCTTCCGAATTTTCGCAAGACCGCATTTAGAATCAGCATTCATGAACACACCACGATGTTGATCCTCAAACTTACCACTGTCTTGAATCGGTTCTTCATTTTGTGAACGATTCAAATTCGATTTACGTTTCGATGATTTATCACGTTCCTCGGGACGGCGGGGCGAACGATCAGACTAAAGAGAGAATTAAAAAAAGACATACTTAATCAAAATCGATCTCTTCTAATATCTCACATACTTACATTTCTACTCCTATGCACAGGACTTAATTCCAATGGCGCTTCATTGTTGGATCCCGATCTTCGTTTTTCCTTTGCCTCATTTTGCATGGTGGAACAACGTGGTCGCAACATCGGACCATCGTCCATGGGCAAATCATGAATTTCCATAAAATCATCATCGATATCATCTACCTGAAGATTGGGTGGTGCACTTTGTCGATTCATTGCGGATTGTTTGGGTGAGGACTTGGGTGAGGAGGGCACCTTCACGGTGCATTCCACTGACGTGGTTGCAGAATTTGAGATTTTATTTTTTGGAGATTTTGGTGAATTGGTATTCACCGAACGTGGACTGGTGGCTTTCGTTGCTGCGGTACAGTGCATTTCATTTAAATTCTGTTTTACCGACGACACGGACATGGATGGTACCAACTTCTTGGAACGATTTGTAGGCGAACAGCTGTTGGGCATTTGCCGACCGTTTTGTTCACCCTCAGATCCACTAGGAGTCGCTTTATCAGCAGAAATGCTCGAACGTTGTTTGTTCGGCGATGTTGGGGAGGTAAAATGTTGTGGTTGAGGTTGATGCTGGTGGTTTTGATGGTTTACTTCGCCTTTTTTCTTATCTATGATGGATGATCGCAGGGAATAAATCAAAAAAGAAGAAGAAAGGAAGAAGGGAAATAGGAAGTTAGTGTTAGTTAACGAATGTTAGCATAAAAAACAATCTGAATTGAATGTTATTCATGTACATACACATACATATACATTTTAGTTACGATTTATGGGATTGCACAAACAAATACGAATGCCTTGGACAATATGAGGTTGAAAATGTTAAGATTTTGTCATGCAAATTGCAGGGTGGATAAAAGGAGTTAGTGAAATTGTGAAGAATTGATTACAACAAATAGACAAGCCAGCCTACCAAAGCACACGCTTGGAAATCACATACGACATGGATGATTTCACATCTAGGAGAGGGAAAGCCTCAAACGATTTCGGGCGGGGCCCACTATATGATACCCTACACCACTATGCATATTTAGTAGGGCTCCCGTAACAAAAGAATTTATTTCAAGTAGATCATACCACCTATCAACATTTGGCTTTAGAGCAGTTATAGTTTGGTTTCAGAGGGAACTAATATATGGGAGGCATATTCCATTCTGAATATTTTCACTAAATCTGACGGAGACATTTGAATCTCCTCTACCAAATAACATTGCTATAGAGTGCATAATATCACTTCGAGAAGGTTTATATTAAAAAATATATATCGGAGCCGAGTTCCACAAAGTGGAAACGTACTTCCCGAAATTCACTTCATTTGGGTTGATATCAGCCATTATTTTCACAATAAACCTTAAGTCGGATTAAGGATATATATCTGAGCTATATCCAAATCTTAGCCGATCTCGATAAAATTTGACAGAGGTATTTTTGAGCTGTATTTGATGTCCAGTATCAAATATCCTCATAGTGGAGGAATATTACGCATGTGAGGGACTTAAAACCCCAAGTCGCATGAAACACATATATGGAAGCTAAAGCTATATCTGAACCGATTTTCACAAAATTTAGATGTACTTGCTTCTAGACTTAATTCGATCGGAAGTGCCAACATGCAGGTTATTTGGACTGATATTGGTCATTTGGTGCGCAGTTAACCAGAAATCGGTTGATGATATATATAGGAGATATATCCAAATCTGAACCGATCTTGACAAAATTTGGCAGCTGTATTTCTGGGCTGTATCTGATTTCTGGCACCAATTATCATCCTTGTGGACTGCATGTTACGAATGTGAAGGACTTAAACACCAAATCGGATGAAACATAGATTTAGGAGCTATAGATATATCTGAACCAAATACCCCGAAATCGATTGAAAATGTATATGGGAGCTATATTCAAATCTGACCCGATCTTGATAAAATTTGAAACACTTATTTGTGAACTGTATCTGATATCTGGTACAAAATATCATCCTTGTGGAGTGCATATTACAAGTGTGAGGGACTTAAACGCCAAATCGGGTGAAACATATATGTGGGAGCTATAGCTATATCTGAACCGATTTTCACAAAATTTGATGTACTTGCTTCTAGACTGAATTCGATCGGAATTGCCAAAATTCAAGTTATTTGGACTGATATTGGTCATTTGGTGCACAATTAACCAGAAATCGGTTGATGATATATATGGGAGCTATATCCAAATCTAAACCGATCTTGATAAAATTTGGCAGATGTATTTCTGGGCTGTATCTGATATCTGGAACCAAATATCATTCTTGTGGGGTGCATATTACGCATGTGAGGGACTTAAACACCAAATCGGATGAAACATAGATTTAGGAGCTATAGATATATCTTTACCAAATACCCCGAAATCGGTTGAAGATATATATGAAGCTACATTCAAATCTGAACCGATCTTGACAAAATCTGAAACACTTATTTGTGAACTGTATCTGATATCTGGTACCAAATATAATCCTTGTGGAGTGCATATTACAAATGTGAGGGACTTAAACACGAAATCGGGTGAAATACATATATATGTGGGAGCTATAGCTATATCTGAACTGATTTTCTCCAAATATGATTTCCTTGTTTCTAGACTGAATTCCATGCGAAATGTCAAACTTCAGTACTTTTGGGCTGATATTAGCCATTTGGTGCACAATTAACCCGAAATCGGTTGAAGATATATGTGGGAGCTATATCCAAATCTGAACCGATCTTGATAAAATTTGGCAGAGGTATTTTCGAGCTGTATCTGAGGCCCGGTATCAAATATCATTGTTGTAGAGTGCATGTTCAGCATGTGAGGGACTTTAACACTAAATCGGATGAGACATATATATGGGAGCTATAGCTATATCTGAACCGATTTTCACCAAAATTTGCTTTTCGGCTAAATTCTGTCAGAAGAGACAAAATTCTATTCATTTGGGATCCTTTTGGTGTATAAAAACCCTGAAATCGGATAAAGATATACATGGGAGCTATATCTAAATCTAAACCGATTCTCATCAACTTCAATAGGGTTTGTTCTTGGGCCAAAAAATATTGTTCGGAACATTTCATCTCAATCGGATAATAAAGCCGACCTGCATTTTGTTTCACAAAAATACATGGACAGAGGGACGGACGGACGGACTGACATGCATAAATCGACTCAGAAAGTGATTCTTTAAGATCCTCAAAAGTAACTATGGGTCTATCTCGCTTCCTTCTCCATGTTACAAACAAATGTACAAAGACTTAATACTCTTACCACGATGTGATGTAGGGGTATAAACAACGTCAAATATCTGTCGGCAGCAAATATGGAACACCAAAAATTAAGATCTTTAACCTAAAACCAAAGTAATTTGTCTGCTACAAACCATTATTAATTGTTATTTAGGGTTATGGGTTAAAAAAAATTATTAAGTTATGGTTTTAAGTGGTTACAGTTATTTGTTGTTTAAGAAGTTAATTTTGTTTTAATGGGGCACTCATTACTTGGCCATGTTAGAAAACACCATTCCATGGTACCGCAAACCAATGCCTCTAATGGATTGTAATCAATCATAAATATATTAAAAATTATAATTGTTTGAAGAAAAAATGTCATATAATTAGTAGAAATTTTGAGTTTTTCAAAAATAAAAGGGTTTTGCTATTGAGGGCAATAGAACTTGGGAATAAAACAATGGAAATAAAAAATTGCTGAAAAATCTATAAAAAATTCTATTTCTGGACCTTTTCAAGTGTCATTAAATCCGCAAGAAATCATTGACTAAGGAAGCAATGTAGGGTATGAACTGTTTAAGGCCTTTATACGTAAAAAGTTTTAAAAGGAATCCAGGAATAAAGGTTTCGGAGTTGTAACAGAAATTTACAAAAGATTATTAAATGTAAGGCTTTTTATATTTTTAAATATAACATTTAAAGACAAAACCAGAACAAATTTTCAAAATATTGCGTCTTAGATTTTCTGAAATTTCCTTTAATTTAGCATTTAAAATATGAAAAAAATATTAGAAATATCTTTGATTCAAAGCTTCGGAGAAGCCATGAACATTTTTTTAAAGATAACATCCGATCAAAAAGATTGGATGAGTCTAGAAAAACTCTGTAAGGAATATACGATGTTGGGCCTTGAAAGAATCATGAAAAGCTCTGTAAGGAATACAAGTTCCAAGAACTTTGTGTAGGCTTAAAAACAAAATTCAAAAAGGATCCACAATAAAATGCTTTCGATGCGTTTAGAAAATTTCAGAAGGGAATATAAGATTTGAGGCATTGAAGGAGACCTGATAATTATGTAAAAAGTCCACGGGCCTGTCAACATTACTCAATGAATTATCGTTTGTAGGCCTCGAATGTGTTTAGAATAATTGAGAAAGAATTTCAAGATTGAAATCCTTGAAGAAGGACTAAACATTTTGTAAGGATCAACGATTTAGAGATATTTTCCCGAAGGCCTTGGATATGTCTGGGAGAATTCAGAAAGGAATACAAGATTGAAAGCCCTTAAGGAAACCTTTAAATTTCGTCAAGAGTGCACAACCAGTGCTCTAGAGGATTCTCTCAATTAAAAGTCTTGGATATGTATGAAGATACATGTCCTTGGAGGAGTCACGAAAAATTACTCAAGAAACCCTTGATTGAAGTCCTGCATAACAGAATATAAGATTTAAGGTCTTGGAAGTCGGCTGAAATTTCTATGACGAGTCCACGATATGGGACCTGTAAATATTCTGCGAGATATTATCAATTGCAGGCCTTGCTCATGTTTAAAAGAATTGAGAAAGAAGTAGAAAATGTTGGTGCTTCGAGGAGGACTAAACATTTTGTAAGGATCCACGATCTGGGCCTGAGAAGTCATTAAAATTTCACAAACACCTTAGATAAGTCTGGAAGAAAATTCTGTCAAGAGTCCACAAACAGCGGCATTGAGGAGTCATAAGAAAATGTCGCGAGAACATATGATTTGAGTCTCGAATATATTTTTAAAATAATTTAGTTAGGAATAAGAAATTTAATTCAAGCTTTAATGATTCTGAAATAAATCGATCAGGAATGTCCATGGAGGAACAAATTCCGCAAGAAACACTTGATTGAAGTCCTGGATGTATTTAGAAAAAATCAAACTAGATTTAAGGCGTTGGAAGGGGTCTTAGGAGGGGTCCATTGTTTACGGCTTGGAGAATTTACGTCAGCATTCCGAAAAGCAACCTCGATTAAAGACTTTGGATATATCTTGAAACATTCAGGAAGGAAAACAAGATACAAGTCTTTCATGAAGTCCTAACAATTTCATAAAAATCTTGTGAGGGTCTAGAAAAGTAATTACAAATTCTGCAAGGAATATTCGATTAAAGTCCTTTGACATATATAGAAAAATTCAAGATTTAAGGCCTTGGAAGAGGATTGACATTTCTGTAAGTCTGGAAAAATTCCACAGGGAATTCTCGATTAAATGCCTTGGATATGTCTAGAAGGATTTTGAACGGAATACAAAATCTAAGGTGTGCAATTTCCAGAAGGACGAAGAGTAATGAAAAATTTTAGAAGAAATTCGTGATTAAGGCCTTGAAATGGGGCTGGAAATTCTGTAAGGAATTCCCGGGTAAGGGCCCTGAGAAAATCGTCGATATGAAAAAGAACTCTATTTGTAGAAGAACTCCATTCGAAATACTGGATTAAGGCCTTGTAAGAGGCGTAACATTTGTGTAAGGAATCCATGACTTAGGACCCGGAAAAATTAGGACAAATTTCATAGGGAATCCTTTGATTTTAAGTTTTGGAGGCGACTTGACAAAATCTGTAAAAAAATAACTACTTGGGGCCAAGGTGGAGAAATATTCCTAAATTAAGGCCTTGGGAATGTCATGAAATTTTTTTTTTATTAAAGATCGAGTATATAAGGACATGGAAGCGTCATGAATAGTTCTGTCAGAATTACACGACTTAAGACCAGGAAAAATAAAAATAATAAATCCACGATTCATAGACTTTAACTTGAACGTGGACATACAATTTATCTCAAGTTTTGGATTTTTTTGGAAATTAAAAAACTTGAAATTACAAATTACGTGATTTATATATACCCGATTAAGAAACTGTTCTAAATTGACTTCAAAGTCTGTAAAATTTTTGAACCTTTAAAGAAGTCATAGAAAGATAATTTTATCAAAATAGCAACAATTTGAGAACATTTTTGTCTATTTTGAAAATGTCCTTAAAAATTACGTTTTAAAGCCTGGAAGATGTCTTGGAAATTTCCCTTAAAAAACCTCATTTTGGCATTATGGACTACATACGTCTGTTTTTTTAATTCAAATTTAAAGACCTGTTTCTAAAATTCTACCTTGACATTAAAGTCCTCAAAAATGTTGTCCTTGAATGGTAACCCTTTAAAAAAAATAATAAATTTAAACATATGTATACCGTTAAAAATGGTTTCAACACTGTTAAAAAGTATTAATGGGAAGATTTATTATTTAAACCCACAAAATATTATTTTGGAATTTTGCCATCATTGCCAACTACAAGGAAAAAAAATATTAGTTGTTAGTTTCGAATACAACTTAAAGAGGTGGGAGGAATGAAAAAAAAAACTAAAATTGAAACTCTCAACTCACCCAGTGCGGCGGCACGTAAACGGGTTGTTTTCGTTGTACGCACTAAATGCACTGACAAAGGACAATTGTTATTGGGCGACAGTGGCGTAGTAGTCAGAGACGAGGAACAAACAGAAGAGGAACACGAACTACCGGTGACCACATTAAGGGGGCTGTTAATTGGTGGAATCTGTTTTCCCTCATTTAAATATTGCAAATCATTTGCAATTGTTGTTGTTGGTGGTGTTGGGGTTTTCGTTGCTGTTGTTGTTGTTGTAGTCGTAGTATTTGAATTTATCGAAATCGTTGATGGTGGTGTAATGGGTGTTGTTGGTGTTTTCGCATGAATGGTTATGGGCATTTTTGCAGCAGAAATTAAAAGCGGCGACAAAGGACATTTACGTAATTTAGGCAAATTAGAATTTCCAGGCTGTTTACGCTGTTTCAAAACCGATGAAGTTGTGGGCGTGGCATAATTGCTATTGCCGCCATTTAGGCAATTGCTATGATAGAAATTATTGTAATGATGTTGGGAGGAAGTGATTTGACCTATTTTATTGGATGATTTCTGGGCAACATCAGCAGCAGCAGTGTTGCATGGCAGTGGCTCCTGTTGCTGTTGCTGCTGCTGATGATGATGGTGGTTGTGGTACTGGTGATGATGTTGTGGCTGACGAATATGAATTTCCATGGAAACGTTTGGACAGACTGTATTGTCATCAATTGGGTTTGAACTGGTAATGGTATTAGCCGGGGGACAGCCGGTAGCTACTAAAGAACGAGGGGTAATTTTTAGTTTGTGATTTAAGAAAAAAGGAAATGGATTCATTTTGAATTATCTTTGCAAAGGTCACAGCAATGAGAGAATGGTATGTAACGTAGTTGCTGAGCATCTACATCAGAAAATATATATTAAAAAAAATTGGAAATAAATATTGAAAATTTACGAACTCTCTATCAAATTTAAAAACAAAGATAAAGCTGTTAAAATAACCAAAATTTTTAAACTCTCAAAGAGAAAAGTGTATAAAATATATATGAAAAGATGGTAAATGGAGGAAGCTTCCAATCCATTGTCTTTTTCAGTAATTTTTAGACAAAATTTAGATGTTTTTTGCACATAGCCAGAAAATAGATTTTACTGTTATAAAAAGAAATTCAGCCTAATTTTCAATAATGAGAGAAAATTAAAGAAAAAGTATAAATGAAAAACACCTGAAAAATCCACTTAAGTGGGGTATAAATAAACCCACTCCATAAAGTTTAAGAAATGTTTCTAAAAAATCAATAATTTTTGGATTTTGGGCAGATGTTTTAGTATAATTATATCTCTCATAAAATGCGAAATAAGCATCCGATTCTCATCAAATTTCAATTCTCTTCTTCCACATCCCAATAGTTTCATTAGCACAAGATCTGGGTTAAAAGATGGAATATATCGATCCATTCCTTCTGGTACCTCCCCCATAAAGGCTTTAATGACCAAAATACTCATAAACTTTGAAATAATCATCCGATTCTTCGAATTTCACACTTCCCAATATTTATATTAAAACGATATTAGTTGTGAAGATAATAAATACCGATCTAGCCGTTCTGTTACCTCCCCAACACAGGATCACAGTTTCCATAATCATAGAACAAGTCAAAATATATTTAAATAAACAGACGTCGGCAAACCCCCTCGACTTTTTTAAATTAACGATTTGAGGTGTTTTCAGAAAACTTTTAAAACAATTAAGATTTTAGGTCGTTGAGGAGTCATGAAAATTAAAAAATATTATCTAAAAAAATACACCATTAGGCCTTTGGAATATCTGGACAATTCGTTAAAAATCCACGATTTTGGTACTCAAAATTTATAAAAAACGCGATTTTAGGGCATTGGGGAGTCTTGAATATTCTTTAAAAGAAATCCAGGGTAGGCTTAAAAAGTCCCTTTGAGAAGTTTTGATAATTTCTTAAAAATACCGTTGAGAAGTCTTCACAATTTAAAAAAAAACACATTTTTAGGCTTTTGAGGAGTCTCAAAAATTCCTTAAAAAATCACGATTTTAAGCCTATGCAAATTCTTGAAAACATTCACGATTTCAGACCCATGAGGAGCCTTGGAAAGTCTTTAAAAAATCCACGATCATACGGCTTTAGGAGTCCGAGGAAAACCAAGAGTTTAGGCCTTTGAGGAGTCCTGAAAATATCTAAAAAAAATATTCCTTGAAAACTTCTTTGAGGAGTCTTGAAAGTTCTTTGAAAAATGCACATTTGTTTAAAAAATCCACGATTTTGGGCGATAAGTCCCGAAATTCTTAAAAAATCGACAACCATAGGTATTTAAGAAATATTTTACGACTTAAAGAATCTGGGAAAATCTCTAAGAGCCTTGAAAGTTTTTTTTTAAAAACTGCTTTAAAAATTCAAAAAATTCGAAGTTTTGTAAAAATCCACGCTTTTAAGCCATTGAGGAGTCTGGAAAATTCTTAAAAAAAATCTTCCACTTCAGGACTAAACCCACGATTTAAGGCTTTTAAGGAGTCTCCTAAAATCTCTTATTTGTGGCCTTTGAGTAATCTACAAAAATGCACGACTTTACACCTCTAGACCCTCGAAGAGCCTTGAAAGTTTTTTTTTAAAAACTTCTTTGAAAATTATTACGGATTATGGGAAATTTCTCATAAATCCACAATTTTTGGCCTTGGAGGAAGGAGTCTGGAAAATTATTAAAAAATCTTCCACTTCAGGCATAAATCTACGATTTAAGGCTTTTAAGGAGTCTCCTAAAATCTCTTATTAATGGCCTTTGAGTAACCTACAAAAATGCACGACTTTAGACCTCTAAATTCTTCTAAAAAAAAACCTAAAGTATACAATTTTCGTACTTCATTTCGATAAATGACATATTCATATCAGATTTCTGGTTTAAGGAAATATTTAGATATAGTAAGTTGCAAAGAATCGCTGACTTGTTTACCAAGTTATGACAGATAAGATTATTGAAAATTGTGACTCTTTGTGAGTTAGGTACCAGAAGGGGTTCCCAGATATATATCATATTCACAACAGATCCTGCGTTAGCAAAAATAATTGGGTGTCTGAAATTTGAAAAGAGTTTATTTCGCTTTCTTTGAGCGTTTTGTTTTTGCAAAATCTTCAATGTTATATGGAGGAGGTACGAGAAGAAATGGTCCGATCTCTACGGCCTTTATAACAGACTCTACGTTGATGGAAATACTGAGATGAACCAAGTCTGCATGGAATCGGATGTTAATTTCTCGTTGTATGAGCTTCATGGATATTCAAAATGTTGACCCTTGAGTTAATAAAAATATTGTGATGTGTGTAATTTGAAGAGAACCGGATGCTTATTTCGGATTTTTTAATCATTTTGGTTTTGACCCTTTGTGGGGGAGGTACAAGAAGGAATGGTCCAATTTATACCATATTTATAGCAGATCTTGTGTTGATCGAAATATTGAAATGTGCGATCCGAATGGAATCGGATGTTAACTTCGTGTTTTAGAGCTTCATGAATATTCACAATTTTGACCCTATGTGGGCGAGGTACTGGAGGGAGTGGACCGATATTATCCATTTTCGCACCTGACGTAGCACTTATGCAAATAAATATTATTTGAAAGTTGGAGCAAAATCGAATTATCCTTTCTCTTTCTGTGCAGTAAATTATTTTCTTTGAAAATGTTGACATTTTGTGGGTGAAGTACCAGAAGGAGTAGACCGATATTGCCCATCTCCGAACTTGATCTAAGTTTGACAGGAATATTACGATGTTTGAATCAAATCGGATACTCCCTTCCAGAGTTATCATGTGCACCAGCCAGACAGACAGATAGACGGACGGAAGGACATCGCTAGATAGACTCCAAATGTCCTAAAACGGATTTGCTCCAAAGAGACCTAAAACCGTTATTTCGATGAGGCACGATTTGACCGTACCTATGTGTCAGTATGGCTAAGGGTATAAAAAGAATCTAAAGAAATCCTTTAAAATCCACTATTTCGGACCTTTGCGGATTGTCAAAAAATATTTAAGAAAATCCACGATTTTAATATCTCTACAAACTCTGTGAATAGATGACTTCTTAATGGTATGGTAAAGTATTTCATATATTAAATACCAGTAAATGGTCTTCTATCAATTAAATGATTTGAAAGGGTTTTCCTACAACGGAGGCCCCCTAGAGGACATTCTATATTTATTGCAATTTGAATAGACTCGTATATTTCTTAAACTACTGGAAAGTTTTTAGCTGTGAGCCAATATTCCAGTTTAAACTCTCCCCAATTTTAATGGCAACGATGATGATGATGATGATGTTGATGATCTCAAAACGTGTGCCTGTAACGGTTAGGTAGTTGCCAAGTTAAAACAAACAAATAGACAACCAGCAAAAAAAAAAAAAGAGAACAACTTAAGCCGTTCTAGAAATAGAAAAAAAAGAACCTGAAACATTTCAATTTCTGTTCTTTCCTTTTTTTTTGATAAATGAATATGTTTTTCAGGTTTTGAGTACATGACGATTTTTTTTTTTGGCATGCCATAGATAAATATTACTGGATAGCGTTGTTGATGCGAATTCTTGTCGGGTTTCTTTTTTTTCAATAATTTCGAAAAAAAAGAAGAAAACAATAAACGAAATTGTTTAAAGATAACAACCATCATCACATCATCATTACTTATAACCAAGCCGATGCGAGCGACCAGACAAAATAAACTCTTCAAATCATGACTGAAGAAGAAGAAGAAAAAAAGTTAACCTGAAGATAAAATTGTTAAATACAAAAAAAAAAAAAAACTTCTGTCAATATTTGAACGTCTGGAGTGTTGTTTGTTGGTGTGGCTGATGAAAAATGAATGAATGAACGGATGGCATGAATGGATTCGATAGCTTGTTTAAGTCAATTTGAGGCGAAATCAAAACCTCAACACTTGATATAAATTCAATTTCCTGTAACAATTGTGATGCCGTTGTTTCCCACCTCCCATCGCCCCAACCTCCTCCTCCTCCTTCCTCTACCAAGTCAATAACAATTGACATTATGGTAGAACAAAAAAACGGAACTCAAACGCAAATACCATTATCAAGTTTACTCTGAGTGTTGTTGGAGATTTGAAATCATATTTTTGCATGTTGGGTATTTTTTTTAATTTGAATTTCTTGTAGCTCTCCGTGCTAAGTGCCTGCTTTTGAATTGCCACAAACATAAAAAGTGATGGGAAAATATTGATTTGTTTAGACATGATTATTGCATTTTGACAACACCATTCAAATCAAAATGTTTCACACTTTTTTTCTTCTTTAACCGCTATCACATAACATTTTGTATCTATTGTTGTGCTGAGATTTTGACTTTGAAATAGAAATCGAAAAAGTAATTTCCGTTATTATAACGGCAAATGACATGAGACTTGAATATTGTATATATATTGTGTTGATAATACTTGAATAAATACTTAAAGCCAATTTTACATATTTATGAATATGTATATGAGAATATTTTGAATACGTTGTATACGAAAAAGTAGTGAAATCACTGACTGAGAATCAACGCCCAGTTAAAGCTAGAATATTGAAATTTTGCACGAGATTGTTGTGTTGTAGGAAATTTGTACTGAAAGGGTATGAAATGATTTAAAAAGTACTCAAAATTTAATACCTTGTATTTGACAAAGTAAAAAAAGCTAGAATTCTGAAATTTCGAATACGAATCACTTTGGAGTGCAGGAAAGATGTACCAAAAGATTATTAAAAAAT